TTCTAAGCACTTCTTAGTCTAATCTTAGTTCTTTAAATGAAGTTTTGTCAAGGCATTTTAAGAGTAGCCTCCACAAAATATTGCAATAAATACTGTGCTGTGAGATGTGTATCGTGAAAATATCGTACCGTGAGATTTGGACATTGTTACATCCCTAGTGTATAGTTATATTTGTATAGTTGACTAATGAGTTTACTGACATTATTAGGATTTCTATGGGACAACAGCAGAAAGGAGAGGGTAGATTTAAGAGTGAATCCTCTATTTCAGAAAGGTCAAACTCAGGCCCGGGAGCCAAATTTGGCCCGCAATATAATTAAATTTGGCCCGCAAGATCATATCAAATATGTATTAGAGCTGCCATGCCCGCTACAGATAGACTATAGAGACATTATTTAATTAAAATTGTGTTATTATTTTATATTCTGCTTGTTCTGGGTTCAATGTTTAAGCAAAACTATTATTACATTTGTTTTAATAAGAAAAGGTTTAAAATGACATATCTCGAAAGAAGAGAAATCACGCAGATGCTGTTGAAAAGTTTCAATAAATATTTAGTTTGGCCCATGACTTAGTCCCAGTTCTTAATTTTGGCCTCTGTGAATTTGAGTTTGACATCTGTGCTCTATTTAATCTGCCTTTGTCAGATAACTGCGCTTTTTCATAATTATTGTATAAATTAAGTTGTTTTTGCATAAACTCGCATGAAGTTGTATTATTTATTTTGAGTGCAGTTACATGGTCCGATCATAGAGATAATAGGGATGGGACAAGATCTCGTGAGACAAAACTGCCACAAGATTGTGCACACATTAGATAAATTATTTCTGCATACAACTGTACAACAACTCACCTTTATGTAACAGATAATACTCCCTACAACTGTCAATTATCATATCATTGTTGCACTGTCTTCCTATGACCTCTTGTATAAAGCTGAGATTTAATATTTCATTATTTATTTTTCTATTTAATTTTGACTTGTACATTTACATTTATATAATTATGTTTTATTTAACACCTGATTTTTTGCTACTTATTTAGAATTTATTATTACCATTTATATTTTTTATGTAGTTTTTTTCTCTTTGTTATTATATTATATTGTGAGCTACTGTGTCAAAATAATTTCCCTTGTGGATCAATAAAGTTTGTCTAAGTCTAAAGTCTAAGTGAGATTTTTTCGCTCCTGAATTTACCTTTGGCTTGGACAAAAAAAAAAAAAAAAAAAAAAGTTAAGAGTTGGTGAGTTGTATAATTTGAGAAGCTGTGGTTCCAAAAAGCAGTACTATAATTATGACATCAAATTAATAAAAATAGTGAGGCCAAAATTGTGAAATGGACTGCACAAATTATCTAAAAATTTCATCTTTTCTTGTTCTCGTGGACCCAGTGTTGTGGCATGTCTCATCTCATCCCACCCCTAAGAGAATGAATAGTTTTGAGAGCTTTTGCCACGCTCCATTTTTAGTCTGCTAATTGATCGGGAGGACATGAGCATTTCTTTAATCGATGACAATGTTTTTTTTTTTATTAAAGTACTATTATTTCATCCACAAACCAGAAAATATTTAGTTAATCAAAGCACAAGAGAGATACTGTAATATACATGTGGCTCACTGGTGACTTGGTTTGGTTTTTGGGGTAGAGATTGATTATTAAAGAAAAGTTTAATTTAATTTAATTTATTTAGTTTTTTTATCTGTAAAAGGAGCAGGGTTTATAAGATTTATCTTCTTTTTGTTCCTTTTGTTCATGCAGCAAAGACAAGGCAAATAATGGTTGGAATATGCATTTATTGTTAATTATCAGACTTTTAGTTTTTATTGTTGTTCTCTTTAAATTGATGCAAAGAAAAATAATAGCATGAGCAATAAATAAATAAGTAAAACAATACCTTATTCTACATAAAAACTGCTAACCCTGTAGAGTAGATCTGTAAACATCTGCAGAAATGTGATTCTTGCATTAGTTTGTTGTTAATATTTCCATCTTTTTGTCAATTTTCCTGGACGTGTTCATAATGTGAATTTACCTCATCCTTTAAAACATAAATTGTAAATCTAAATAATCGCGATGCTTGTCAGAAATATCACAATTAGACATTTGTTTTCCCCAATCCTTCAGCCCGAACTTAAGAGTTGTCAAAATATCTTAATTACTTGGCGACAGACCACTGCAGGAGTGACGTGGTTTATTTGTTCCGCACATCCTGGTACCGTGATAACCGAGCCATCTCATTCATTTTAATGAGGCGACAGAAATATAAAACATGGATTTTGACGTTTGTAGAGGGCGCAGACAAATGGATGCTGTTTACATGTTCATGACATTTGCCAACGAGTCACACGAGCCAATATCTAACTTCAAGCTCCAGTTTCTAAATTCACTAATTAATGTTGGATTTGTGGCGCTTGAAAAAATAACATAAAATGCCATTGTCAGACTGTTGTGGCTCGATATATTTTCAGTGCGATTAGCCCAGTATAACCTTTAGGACGTGTTTATTATGTGGTCGTTAGCATTAATGCCAATTTTGGCGCTAATCGTCTATAAATTAAGATAAACTCTGCTACAGAGCTTCATCACTGCTGATTTATGGGACATTACCCGCCTTTAGAGGTGTTCTGTTTAAATACACTCAAAGCCCATTTAAATTAACTGATGTATTGATACTCTGCAGAGACAAAATGCTCAGGGGGAACTGTATGTATGTCTATGGAGGAATGTAAAGGAGTAACTTTTTAGATTGTTTGAAAACTCATATTGAAAACAAATATATAACTGATTAAACAAAACATCTTCAGGAGCCTCTCATCAATACAAAAAACTAGCCAGCTGGCTCATGAATGTAAATAAAGCACAGATGAAAGTCTAACTTTAAAATATTATAATGTGGTAAAATGGATTGAATCTTGTGATATTATCTGTACTGTCGGCCATGTCAGTGTCACATATTGTATTGAATCGTTAAGCCCAATTCATGGTCGTGCGTCAAATTGTTTCCACCGCGACACAGAGGTCCCATCCACACTAGTTTGTATTCGAGTCGTTTTTGTTGTAGATGTAGTGTTCGCCCACACTAAACTGATAGAAAACGGTTCCAGAGACGGAAGGATCTGGTGCCGCCAGCTCCCACGAATTCATCTGAGCACAGATCTGATTCGGCTGTTCACTGTGTGGACGCCTGAAAATGTTGATACACGTACGTAGGACGTAGACGCTCTAGTTGCGTCCTTATTGGACCACATCACTGTGACTCGGGCCTTCTTGATTCGCTGGGTTTGTGACATTGGTCATGTGATGCTATTGCGGAAACAGTTTAAACAAACCATAGACAAACGGGAAACTGTACCTAGAACTACTTGCTAGTAGAAAAGACTGTTTTCACGCCTGCCATCTTCCTCGGCTCGAAATCGTCTGCAGCAGCTTCAGACATGGTGCTCCACTTCCTTGTTTTTACCGCCCACATGAAGTTGTGACGACGTGACAGCAGCCTAGTCATGTGACTAGCGTTTCAGGCGGTTACGTGTTACTGTGTGCATCATGTCTGGACGCAAATTGTTTCCGATATGGTGATACGGTGATTCTTTTCAGTGTAAACATAAAAGAGAGAGTCTGCAGAACCTCCAAAATTTTGTAAGTAGGTGTCGAACGAACGCAGACAGCATGGGAAACACAGACGATAAGGGCTGTGATTGGTCCTCTCTACCACCGCTCTACATACATTTCCGTTACTCTGCTTTCCCGCTTCATTTTGTAAACACGAATGCCATTTTTAAATCCTAGCCTCCTAGTGCTGTGGCGGTGAATTACTTCATGGCGCAGAGAACTTGATGCAGATCTATAAATCAAAAACGACGGCGTCAAGGCGACAGCGGCAATGTGCATTCAGTCAACACAGAACTGTAATCCGGCCTTTAGGGACCCTGTGATTCCTCATTGTGAGCTCTCAGCAAAACATGGACTAATATCTTTAAAATTGAGTCTAGTCTGTACTTTTGAAATTATGGAACTCAAAAACAGTGTCACAAAGTGCTCCGCTAAAGAAAGGTTCAACGCTAAAAGAAAGTTAATAGTTTAAGTGTTCTGTATTCAGCCTCTTCCGTCGCTTGTGTGTGACTTGAAGAAATAAACAGCCTTTCAGAAAAAAAAACAATGTGGTTTAAGTGCACATTGACAATTTGGAATAAAGGACAAAATTATTCTACATGGCCAAACGTATTTGGTGTGTCGTGGTGTGCAGTCCTCGAGAAAAGTGGAAAGTAATTTCTATGCAAAGTCAGAGTGTTTCAAAGTGTTTCAAAGTGTACACTGCAGACAATGAATATCTCCATGAGTTTAAACAATGTGAGTCCAGAATGTGTTTCTTTGATTTGAGGATGTTTGACTAGTTCATATGAAACTGTTTCAATATATTGCTTTTTTCAGCCCAAATAATCGGCCAATGGAGTTAGAGATTAAAGCAACTGTATGAAAGATTTTTATTTTAAATGTATCTAATAAGTCTAATGTTCTTTTATTACTAATTGCATTAAATGTCCCGTTTATTTATGTTATTTATAATTTGGCTGTTTGTTTGGCAAGACAATTATCCAATCAGAAAGCAGAATGAGGCTCACATGAGTCTCTCATTTGGGTTGCCAGTTCTCATGCTGAAATCCAGTTGGTTTAAACCTAAAAGGACTGTCTCTGATCTGAATCCTCACTACCTAAAGCCCAGCACTTACAGCCAATCATTACTCAGTCCTGAGAGAAAAACTTGTTTGTTTACTCCATCTGCAGCTTTAGGCAATGGCAACGGTTTTAAACTATAAGAACGCAGGCTGCATACAGTTTCTTTAATAAGATCAAATTTCTTTACCAAATTATACAGTGTTCTTCATTTACATTACTTCCCTTTCAATGAACACTATTTGTAAAACTTCAAGAGAGTTTTTTTGTTTTATGCCCACAGATACATATTGATTTTTGCAGTGTAAATATGAAGTTTAACCCACTTGTATTCAGAGAGCATCCTCACCCTTTCACTTTGGAGCTCTTTTTGCCTGGCTGCCGTGGCTCCTGGGAGGAGGCGGGGTCTCGGGGTTCGGCGGGCTGGTCTGCGTCCTGATTGGACGCTGCTCCGGCGGGGGCGGGGCCTGACGAGGGGGAGGCGGCGCTGGCCTTTAGCGTCTTCTGTAAGTTTGAGACCTGAGGGAGATGGACAAAAGGAGAAATGTGGCCGCGTCCAAATACCACGAGTCGCTCAGAGTCTGAACGAGTCACATTTACACCACTGACTGCAGGGGGCGCAATGAGCACTGACCTCAGTTTCCACTTGAACTTTGACCTTGAGCTGGCTCTCTCTGTACTGGTTCGCCCGTGAGACCTGCTCCTCGATGCCACACAGCACGGCCTCGCACCCCGTACACCTGCAGCACACAGAGGAACAACTTTCAACAGTGATCCAGATTAATTAAAGATTCTACATTACACAAAACTGACTCTTGTGAGCTTTAAACCATTTTATTATGTCGTTACCTCATCAAAAACAGACTTGGAATTGTTTTTGGTTTCATTCACACATGTCTGAATAACTCTATTCGTCTGTCTACATCCCCAAAGCTCAAAATGCTCTGTTCCTCCTTGTGATGTCATGAAGTTTTCAAGTTAACAGCTACTTTTTACTTAGTACTACCACTTACTACTTAGTTCAGCTGAAATTGGCAATTCCAAGGCTGAAATCATCCAGATTCTCCTAGTGAAGGTGTATGGAGTCTAAAAACACGGTGGAGCACTTCCTGTATTACCACATGACATCACAAGAGTTTGAGATTTTCATGTTTGATTGAAACAAATCAAAACTTCAGGTAGGTTTTGATGGGTAAACAACTTTATAACTAGGGATGGGCATGATTAGTCGAAGAATCGATAATTGATCATTAAGAATTTCCTTGATAACGTTAATTTCTAATCGACAAACTGAATGCAGGTTTCTGTGCGTAGATATGAAGCTGCGTCTGACACAAACACTGGAGTTTCAGCCTCACGTCCCACGTTTGGGCTCTGGCACCTCCTTGGAGATCACTGTATCTCTCAGTGAGTGCGTTTACATGCACATCAGAGTCTTGGTTTCGTCGTGGTGCATGTTTACGCAGTATCCCGGTTACTGCAACATAAAGAGCTGCGCTAAACCTGCACATGTATGATCTTTGAAAACATCGAGAACAGACTCACCTTCAGCATCAACATCCCTCTGTCACAGAAAAAACACTCATATTCCACTGAGTCCAGGGCATCCCCGGGTTTGACTACCCCCAAATTTAAGACCTTTTTAAGACCTTTTTAAGACAACTTCAATGAAAATTAAGACCAACATCGCAACCATTACGCGGGCGAAAAACACCAGATCTAATTCTAATAAAGACCAACCAACTACAGTACTGTATCTAGAATCTAAGGCTACGTTTATATGATGATGGTCCTAACAGAAGACACAAAAGTGGCGTAGTGTCTTCACTTTTAATTCCGCATTTAGATGAATGTTTCGGGAGGAAATCTGTGTGCATACAGTGATGTAAAAGTGTGTGGAATTCGATTGGGTTTGCATGCCAGGCGGCTCGGTGGTGATGTATATGACGTAAACACATACGCAACGTGAGCAGATCTGACCAGAGTTTTGCGTCTTGGGCAGTGTAGACAAAACTGATTGTTTACTCCTTGCCGCCGGCTCAAAAACTAAAGTATTACTCCAAATTAGATAATCATTCATGTAACGTTATTTCACGTTGTTTTTTTTTTTTTTTTAACCCTCCCTCCATTTAGTACGTAAACCAAAAAATAGGCTAAAGAAATTTAAGACCTTTGTGAAAAAAATAAGACTTGGACAACATAATTTAAGACTTTTTAAGGCCTTAATTTAGGTACATGAAATTTAAGACCTTTTTAAGACTTTTATGACCTCGCAGCTACCCTGGAGTCATGTCCTTTAGTCCGACAGAATCTAACCGCATCAGCGCACAAGAGCGTTTTTTTATTTTATTTTACAAAAAAATTAGTTTATGCAAATTAGCCATGCGGTTTTAAGTTTCGTTTCTTCCGCAAAGCTGCATTAAACACATTATAATCTCAAACGTGTGGTGATGGTTTATATGTTGTAAAGTTGAGTTTATTTATGCAGATTACTACTAATAATAATGACGATACTCGATCGTTAATTCTCTCGACGATCGATTAATAAACTTTCATCGAACGCCCATCCCTAATTATAGCATTAACATAGATTAGAAAATAGTGCAATATGGGCCCTTTAATTCCTCGCTTGTGTTTATTTGCATTTGTTTTAGGGTCCTGTTTGTCATTAATTAATCATTTTTGCACGTATATTAAGTGTAACGATTACTTTTGTCCCCGGTGATGAAAAATGAGCACTGTTGCCATAGCAATTAATTCTGAATGGTCAAAAGTCCTCCTTCAGCACAACGCGCAAACTGAGCATTACTAGTGCTAGAAAATGGAGAAGGAAGCAGTTTGGAAAAGGGCCTTTCATTTTCCTTTTTATAGCTCCATTTTGAGGTACTTTTAGCCATTCAAACTCAATCAATCAATCTATAGAACTTTTTATTTATCCCCGAGGGCAATCTAAGCACACTGAGCGGCTGTAAAAAGACGGAGAAACTCGCGAAGAGCAGGAAAATCAAGTGAACAGATGGATAATGATTGACGACTGACCACTCCTGCAGTGTGCTGATGATGTTGGGCAGCTCGTTGGGCCCCAGGTCTCGGCCCACGCTACAGTCCACCTCCACCTGCTGGTTCCTCTGGTCCAGTTTGCCCTGGATGATGTCACAGTACACGGCCTCGATCAGGAGGTCCTCCAGCTCGCGCACGTTCTTCAACTCCAGCTGCTGCAGGAGGAGGGAGTAGGGAAGGCACTGAGGAGAGAAAGACAGAGAGGGGCAGGGGTTATTTTGGGGTCACACAGTTATAGTCACTGATTTGATGTAGCTTTTCTGGAGGAGGATATGGTAATGGCGGTGCAATTTTAGAACGAAATCTCATTTTCTGACAAGTATTGTGATTAGATTTGGGACATAGGCTTGAAAAGTCTGTTCAGAGCGCACACTGTAAGCCACTGAAGGAGCGTTAACATTTGAGAGAAGACTGTAATATGAACTGATAAACAAGAATTTCATTTCAGAACTTTTCGCAGAAGCGTAAAACATAAAACAGGATATTTTGTTCTTTGCAGAGGACATTACACTAAATAACGATAGCCTTTGCAAAGTCACATGACACACTACCTGCTCGTCTCCACGGCTACGAGCTTATAGTTTTGCAGTAAGACGCACTTTTGAGATGTTTTTGGCTCAAAAGTGGGATCACTGCTCCATAGATCTGACCTGTAACTTGGGCTTGTCATCCTATCTGCCACCCTCAATGGAGTTAGAATTTTTAATTTTAATTTTTTTTATTAATATAAAAGAAAATAGAATATAACATTTAACAAAATACAATAATAAACACAGAAACAAGACACAAAAAGATAAAACAACAAAACTCCCCACCCGTAACGACCCTTTTCCCTCCAACACACACACAAATTTAATTAAATAAAACAAAAGTAATGTGGTAGTGCAGCATATTTATATTTTGGCCAATTTATAATTTAATCCCCCCCATTTTTTTATAAACACTTTTAGTCACTATACTTAAATAAATAAATAAAATGTATAAAATAATAAAATAATTAAAAATAAAATAATAAATCAATAAAATAATATATAATAAATAAATAAAATAAAAAATAATATGTATTTATTTATTATATATATTATTCTTATTTATTTATTTTTTATGATTTTTTTTTTTTTTTTTAACGCCATACTGTGAAACATTCTAGCAATACCATCTCCATGGAGACAAGCAGGTGGCACATTTTACAGAAAACTTAAGCAGTGCCGCTTTACGCCCTTTCGTGTGCCGCTTCAGTCTATGGAGCTCGGCATAACAATCCCATTTCATACTGACCTTAACTAAACAGACAGACGATTTGATTACACGTTGACGGTTCAATGGAAAAGCATAAAAAACGTCACTTTGGCCAAATGTCACCGGGGGAGAGGACATAACTGGCCCATTCTGGACAGGATCATTAGGGCCCGGTCTCACACGAGCAGGTGGGGCCGTATCAGAGACGAAGGAGGGAGCGCGGGGGACTAATGGTGGCCGAAAGTCAGATTAATGTTTAAAAAAACTCAGACAGAGCAGCGGAGAATAATGAATCAATTATTTATCTGGAACAGGGAGCGAAAAGGGCACCGGGAGAGGAGCGACGCAGACCAAGTGTAAATGAGAGAGAGGAGATTTTAAAAAGAACTGAAAACTTTATGATTAAGAGGCCAGAGGAAGCAGCAAACACCTCCACAGCTACTGATACTAATATTTAAGCACAAAATCTGACATTTTCTAGTATATGGGTTTTGGAAGGTGTATTGTGTAACGCTGCTGGTGGGGGGTCTGCTGCTATCTTGTCTCCATGGAGAGTATAGCACTTTGCCTAGATACGTTTAATACCATATTGTGGACCTTATTTATCTTGTACTTAATAATAGCAGGCATTTGGTTGGTTAAAAATACCCCGAAAGACAAGCATTTGTTTGGGCGGCTTTGTAATCAGGGCATCCCCTCGTTTGACTACCCCAAATTTAAGACTTTTTAAAGACCTTTTTAAGACCATTTAAAATGAAAATTAAGACCAACATCGCACCCATTATGCGGGCGAAAAACACCAGGTCTAATTCTAATAATGACCTACCAACTACCGGTACTTTATCTAGAATCTAAGGCTACGTTTATATGACGACGGTCTGAACAGAAGACACAAAAGTGGCGTCGCGTCTTCACTTTTTATTCCCCGTTTAGACGAAATCTGCATGCATACAGTTATGCAAAAATGTGTGGAATTGGATTGGGTTTGCATGCCAGGTGGCTCGGTGGTGATGCATGTGACATAAACACGTACGTGGCGTAAGCAGATCTGACCAGAGTTTTGCGTCTTGGGCAAAACTCGGAAATTGTTTACTCATTGCCGCCGGCACCAAAAACCAAGTATTGTTTGCGCATACTCCAAATTAGACGCTCATTCATGTTTTTTTTTCCCCTCCCTCCATTTAAAGGTTGTATAGAGGATTTTTTAAGGGAAGAGAAATACAGCAACAGTCCTTTTTCAAATGTTACACATGCGACACCACCTCCCTCCTCCACAGCCTCAGTAGAAACATCTCCTCCCGCCTCCTTACTTTAGAAATCACGCTTGTTTACAGCCAGCATGTGTTCAGAATTACTGTTCAAGTGACCTGTCTTGAAATAATTTAGCGACCGACGTGTCAGTTTTTAGACCCTTTGTCTGCTTCATTCGCGCAATCACTGGAAGGAATCTCCAAGAATCACCTTAATTTGGCTTTGCTCCTTTTCCCTTTCTCTTTTTCTTTCAGTGACCTCAAAAACGGACTTTCTTTTGCGGCGAACTGGTCGTGGATTCTCGCCCACCATCGCAACAAACTGTGCGAACTGCGAGGAAGCTACAGTTTAAAAAAGCCTCTAAGAACCGCTGCATAAACCACGTAATCCAACCTAACAACCAATAGAAAATGAGGTAGCCTTGTTTTCTATTGGCTGATGTTTATCCGGTCTCACTACATCCACAGTTGATGGATTTTCATTCTTTTTTTCTTTTGGGTCATCATAATTTCAAGGCTGCTGCATCTCTGTAATGGTATTTTAAACTTTCATTGACAATTTGAAACAAACAAAAAAAAAAATCCTCCATACAACCTTTAACACTGCACTGTAGCCCGGTTGAGTAAACAAACAAAAAAATAGGTTAATGAAATTTAAGACCTTTGTGGAAAAAAAATAAGACTTTGACAACATAATTTAGGACTTTTTAAGGCCTTAATTTAGGAACATGAAATTTAAGACCTTTTTAAGACTTTTAAGACCTTGCGGCTACTCTTGTAATCCCATTTTACTCCACAAAAACATTTTTTACTCAGCACTAGCCAACAGTAAAAGCGTAAGGATCAAGAAATACAAGCTGGTTATTCTGGTTCTTTAAAACAAAGGCTGAAATGATCCTTGCTGCCCAGTTTCGTGGCTACAGGTGCGACGTCAGGAAATAGAGACAGGAGCAGAGACAGGGTCAGAGACAGGAGCAGAGACGGGAGCAGAGACGGGAGCAGCGCACCTTGAGGTTGGAGGCCAGGCTGATGATGGACAGGTGCCTCAATTTGTTCCTCTGCGCTGGGGTCAGCTCCGGAAGTGAGGCCGCTCTCTCTACAGAGAAACAGAAAGGACAAAAAGGCACATCAGGAAGTGCAAATATAGCTTCATATCCGAGAGACAGACCGGTTTAACAAAGTCCTTACTCTTGAAGTTTTGTGCCACTGCTTAAAATTGAAATGCAGTTAGATAAATAAATAGTTATTCTCATTCAAAAATGATTAAGAACATGAACTTTAACTAGTTAATTGAAGGATAAGCTATAGTGAAACATCAATATATGTTTTTTAGATCAGTGTTTCCCAAATTTTTATTTTTATTTTTTTTGTGGACCCATATTTTAAAAGTCACAAATCTTAGCAGCATTAATAGAGATTATTCGTAAATAAGAAAATAAAGGTGGATTGACCATTATTGAACTTTAATGAGGATATTTTATATTTTCATCAATTCGTATTACTCAAATTTTACACAATGAAAAACAGAAATTGAACCAATAAAAGGATCCATATGTCATCTATTTAGACATGCATGTAGCCCATTTCTTTTTCTTTTGATTTGATTCAATTGAACCAGCAATACTGGAACAAAATAGTCGGTAGAACTGTATATAGCAGATCTACATGCAGATCGTGACAAAGCGACCCCAAAAAAATCTCTTGAGACCCAGTCTTTGGGAAACAATGTTTTAGATTATACTGGAGATACCGGATGAAGGTTAGTCTAACAAAACATATGCAATCATTCAAAAAGAGTGAGAGACAGGGTGCAGGAGTAAGTACGTTCTGTTTTCTTATGCACCTGTTGCCTTCTTAGGTTCAGTCCTTCCTGTAATTAAGATTATGTTGAAGTGCAATGTCCTGAAATGTGTGTATTTGTTTAGTATAAATGTTGCTAAAAGAGAGATTCTATTTTCATGAGGTGTGTACGACAGACTATTCTATTCATATTTCAATTTACAAGAACCTAGTAACGTGAAAACCGAGCGATGCTTTCTAAAACTCATGTAGACGTGTTGTTTTCACACTGTGTAGAGTCATTTCTATTCACATACTGGTCACTCCCTCAGACCCAGATCTGGTGGTACTGATAAATCTGAATATTGTTTTCGCTTCGACGTGGTTGTAAAAATGAAAAACCGCGGCTTTAGACGGTACATCGGCCACCTCTGTCTCTTCCTTGAGGTCACAGACGCAGAGCCGAGTTCCACTTCGCACCTTTAGATGTATCGTTACAGAGCGGAGCAGAGGTGCGCGTGTAAATGTTTAAGCAGACACTTTACAAAGACGAGGCTGCGTTTCCGTGGTGACAGCGCTCTGACAGCCCCTCGATGGGCTGTGAAAGTGAAATAATGTTCCCTGGTGGCTCGGCTCAGAAAGAGAAGGGAGGAAAAATAAAGTAGGCTATGCTATTTTTCCAGGCTATTGTGGCGGATATTTGGCATAAAATTAGACTTGAGTTAAATTAGCATTCCACTTCTGGTGAGAAAACCCAAAGACGTGTGCCAATTCAGACGAACAGTGCTGCGTGATACTGGCAGCAATTAATATTTCGCTGTTTTGGAGGGGATCCACTCTACTGTAATCAGATGTGAAAGGAGTCGGTGTAAACTCCAGCAAAGTTAAATATAGTGCTTTTCAGAGGCAAGATTAGAGATCCTTTATTTGTCCCACAATGGGGAAATTCCACAGTCCAACAACAGCAAGAGGATAGAAACAGGCACTCAAATATTAAAGCGACAGTTCAGAATTTAGGCCTCATTTCCTAGTGAGCCAGAGTGTTGGAGACGTGTGGAGATGATAAGTCCATGTAGTATTAATCGCAACATTTATCGCTTCAAAACTGAACTTGTAGTGAATTGTGTATTCTATAATTCAATCAATTTCTCATGTCGTGCTGCCCGAATAACTTACTGCACAGTACTTACATTTGTTTATACTTGTACAGTGTTAAATGTAAGTATATTATCTACTGTTTAATTATCGTGAAGGGACAGTCTGGAATTTTGGACATAGGACCTCATTTCCTAGTGAGCCAGAGTGCTGTAGATGTGTGGAGACACTTTTTAAAATATTCCATCCAGTCCTTGTATTTGCAGAGGTCACTGGTGCTAGGCTAGTGCATGTCAATGGCCATAGTTATCCTGCCACTAAAAACAGTTTTACCCACTCCACAAAACACAAGAAGCAAAACAATTATTATGTCAAACTGTTGATGTAAATGTCTCTGTCGATAGAATAATTTCAGAAGTAAAACCAACCTTGCATTTGAAGGATTTATGTCTGAGCAGCAGTGGTGAGTTGTACTTTCTGATAGAAAGCTTGGCAGCGGCGGACTGATATATGAGAAAATAGTCCCTCAACATGCGACAATTCATGCGATGCAAGGTTAGTTTTATTTCAAACATTATTTTATCGACACAGACATTTACATTGACAGTCTGGTGTAATAATAGCTTTGCTTCAGGTGTTTTGTGGAGTGGGTAAAACTGTTTTTAGTGGCAGGATAACTATGGCCATTGACATGCACTAGCCTAGCACCAGCGACCTTTACAAATACAAGAACTGGATGGAATATTTAAAAAAGTATCTCCACACGTCTCCAACGCTCTGGCTCACTAGGAAATGAGGCCCTACGTCCAAAAATCCGAACTGACCCTTAATTAATTATTAAACATTCGATAATATACTTACATTTATCAGTGTGCAAGTAAAATCAAATGTACGAACTGTGCAGTAAGTATTTCGGGCAGCACGATATGAGAAATAGATTTTTTTTTTACTATGATGATATTATTGTGATAAATTAATAAACTAAAGTATACACAATTCACTGTAAGTTCAGTTTTGCGGCGATAAATGTCACGATTAATACTACATGGACTTATCGTTCAATAAAGCTGGAACAATAAAATATTTTGAGGCTCAGTGTTTATTGTGTATTGAATTGTCTTTGCAGTAGTGGGGAGAGTTTTGCCATTTTTATGTAATGACGTAAGATTTGAGCTGTAGAGGGTAGAATAATTAACTTCTACTGCTAATTATAGTTTCATTCTGCTATTTATTTGTTGCAGCTCAGCCCATTTAATGACACTGCCTATTTAAAATCTCTGTGTGAGTGTATATATATGGTGCTATATATGGAGTTTCAAGATGCGTTATCGTGACAGGCCTCCTTGTAGCATCATTTTTATAGTTGTGATGTGTTTAGAAGTGTACTGTTAAGTAGCTGCTTTGTCCCTGTGAATCAAAGGGCATCTATATGGGAGGAAGCGGCCCTCTTTGTGCTGTTAGTAAATGGCAAATAGTCCAATAAATGTCATGCAGCCTACCCAAGTTTTTAAAACAGCGTGCATTAGGTGAAGTTTAATGTATTGTGCTGACATTTACAGCATAAGCAGAGGAACACTTCCACTTGACCCACACTGTACTTGTCTTTTAGCTGTCCACCCCCCTGAATTCATAAGAAACAAGTCGACCTGGTACCGTCCTACAGACTGAAAACCAGTGCTATTGGCGATATATCACACACCGCTTTGTTTTACTAATTTTCCAAGCTAATAGAGCTCCTGCAGTCGTCGTCAGGCAAGTTAAAGCAAAATCTACGCAATATAAACTCCAATATATACTCCAATATATACTCCAATATATATACTCCAATATATACTCCAATATAAACTCCAATATAAACTCCAATATATACTCCAATATATACTCCAATAAACTCCAATATAAACTCCAATATATACTCCAATATATACTCCAATATATACTCCAATATATACTCCAATATATACTCCAATACTGCAATACATACTCCAATACATACTCCAATACATACTCCAATACATACTCCAATACATACTCCAATACATACTCCAGTATATACCAATACATACTCCAGTATATACTCCAATATATATACTCCAATATATACTCCAATATATACTCCAATACTGCAATACATACTCCAATACATACTCCAATACATACTCCAGTATATACCAATACATACTCCAGTATATACCAATACATACTCCGGTATATACTCCAATACATACTTCACTACATACTCCAATTTGTACTCCAATTTGTACTCCAATTTGTTCTAAAGTACATACTCCAGTACATACTTTACTCCATACTCCACTACATACTCCAATTTATACTCCAATTTATACTCCAATTTATACTCCAATTTGTACTCCAGTACATACTCCAGTACATACTCCACTACATACTCCACTACATACTCCACTACATACTCCACTACATACTCCACTACATACTCCACTACATACTCCACTACATACTCCACTACATACTCCACTACATACTCCACTACATACTCCACTACATACTACATACTCCACTACATACTCCACTACATACTCCACTACATACTCCAGTACATACTCCAGTACATACTCCAGTACATACTCCAGTACATACTCCAGTACATACTCCACTACATACTCCACTACATACTCCACTACATACTCCACTACATACTCCACTACATACTCCACTACATACATACTCCACTACATACTCCACTACATACTCCACTACATACTCCACTACATACTCCACTACATACTCCACTACATACTCCACTACATACTCCACTACATACTCCAATTTGTACTCCAGTACATACTCCAGTACATACTTCACTACATACTTCAATTTATACTTCAATTTATACTTCAATTTATACTTCAATTTATACTTCAATTTATACTCCTATACATACTCCAGGATATACTCCAATACTGCAATACATAGTCCAGGATATACTCCAATACTGCAATACATACTCCAGGATATACTCCACTATATACTCCACTACATACTCCAATTTATACTCTAATTTATACTCCAGTACATACTCCAGTATATACTTCACTACATACTCCAATAGTCCAATATATACTTCAATACATACTCCACTACACACTCCAGTATATTCTCCCAATATATACTCCAGTATATACTCCAATACCCTAATACATACTCCAATATATACTAAAATATATACTCCAGTATATACTCCAATACATACCCCCAATAGATACTGCAATACATACTCTTAGGGTCACTAAAGTTTAATTTAATTAGTTTAGATAAATCATTGTCTACAGTTTCATTTAATGACTCCAAAAAACCTCCAAAACCAGACTTGGTGCCATTCATTACCGCTAATTTACCACTGCCAACATGGCGTCCCTGTCAGATTTAGTCACGTGGGTGCATTAAATTACACTCAATTAGCTTTCCATTTCTGTGCGGAGTCTCTGGCGACATGTTGCCCAGGCAAAGTTCAGTCGCAGCACAAGTGAAGTGTCTGCTCCTCTTTGCGTTGCCGTCTCTTTCTCCATACAAGCGTCTAATGAACTGCTTCTGTGTGCTTGTAGCTGAATGTGAGCCTCGAGAGCGCCTGAGCCTCGCCGAGGTGAAGGAGGAAAAAAAAAAAAACTGTTCATAAGAAAAGGTTGGGAGCGCTGCCCTATTACTTATTTACAGAGCGCGGTGGGGCAGTGAAGTGCAGTCTACCTTTATAGTCGCAGTAGGTTCCATAGGCAAAGAGGTGCAGCAGCTGGTACACCGGAGCGTGAGGGCCGTTCTCCAACTGCACACACAGAGAGAGAGAAAAGGCCAAAGGATTAAACAAACATAAGGTCAGAGAGATTAGACTACCTGTCTATAGAAGGGGTGTGAACAGTATTTGGTTAATTAATGATAGCGAGTATTCAGGAACAGTAAGACCTCACATAGTGTTTGTTTACATTATGAGCATTTGCACTTTATAAAATGCACTAATACCTTTGTTTAATGCTATGTAATTTCTAGAGATGGACTGATACAGATTTATTTGAGCCGATACGATGCCCAGTATTTGTTTTGTTTTTTGTGTAACATACGGATATATAACACTTTTCTATTTCAACAGTATTTAGTTAATTAATGATCGAGATTATTCAGGAACACTAAGACTCCACAGTGTTTGTTTACATTATGAGCATTTGCACTTTATGGAATGCACTAATACTTGCCCTATAACCACGCTTTTTGTTTAATGTTATGTAATTATGTCATTTCTGGAGATGGGCTGATACGATGCCCAGTATTTGTTTTGTTTTTTGTGTAACATACAGATATATAACACTTTTCTATTTCAATTTTGACTAATGAATTTGTTGAAAAAGGGAACACAGAGAATGGGGCAGCGGAAAAAAAAAAATCTGCATTATCATCAGGTATCGATGAATCAGTATCAATACTCATAATTTCATCGTTACTTGTGACAATCAGTGTTGAGAAGGTTACTTTTAAAATGTATTCCTCTACAGATTACAGATTACATACCCCAAAATGTAGTTTGTAACATACTCAATTAAGTTACTTAAGGTGAGTAACGTAATCTGAATACTTTGGATTACTTGATTTGCTGTAGAGAAGCAAAGACGAGGAAACGTAACATAAGAAGTTTTGTCTGATAAAAGAAAATAAAAAGCCCAGACTTTACTTAACCCAATTCAAAATATTTTTGAGACACGTCCACATCCGCATGGTTTAGTCCTGTTAAATCCTGTTTTAGTGCTGGTTTAGACCTGGTTTTAGACCTGGTTTTAGACCTGGTTTTAGACCTGGTTTAGATCTAGTTTAGTCTGGTTTAGTCTGGTTTAGTCCTGGTTTAGACATGGTTAAGATCTAGTTTAGACCTGGTTTAGTTTCCGGCAATGAGTGGAATTACCGAAAAAAAAAAGAAGAAAAAAAAGGGGGATATAGCCTAAAATGTGAAAACAGGAAAATACCACCGTGTAATCCATTTATTTCAACAAAGTAACTGTAATCCAATTACCACTCACTGAAACAGTAACTGTAACTGAATACAGTTACTCATAATTTGTACTCTGATTATGTCACTCCGGTACATGTAATCTGTTACTCCCCAACACTGGTGACAATGAACCATAAATCCTCAAACTTGAACCTGAATCTTGAAAAAAAAAACAAGTACCAACTTTAAGAGAGAAAGAAGAAAGAAAGAAAAATAAACAATTCTCAGTTCAATCTATTAAAATTTACCGTAAATGATTTTACCAAAGCTAGTCACATACTTTTTGTAACATAAGGCAACAGGAAATTGCAACGCCGTTTCTTCTCACAATAATAATATTAAAATTCATATTGTAACATCCCGCCCAATCTGTAATCAGCAGAGCATGTATGCTATGATTATTTGTTTACAGGAAAACAGAACGATGTTAAACAAATTGTTTTTTAGGTGGAGAAATAGTCCAATAGACCAGACTGAAAGGGCTGTACATCTAGTTCACTTTCGGAGAGTAAATTAATTGACTGTGTCTTGGTTGACCAACTCGGGAATGGGGTGGCCGACTGTATATATCTGTGTATTATCAGGAAATATTTATAGGAAATCCCTCAGAAATGTATATAAAATGTGTCTATAAAAGTTGTTGAGGTTTTGTGAATTCACTGAACAATTAACAACAAAAGAACAGAAATATCACATTGTACTGACATTGTTTGGAAGATCACACCGCAAGAGAGTTTGAGTTTTGGGACAGATTTTTGTATAAACGCACAGATAATTCTCTTTATGCATAGTTGTTATAACAAATGACATTTTACTTGTTGCGTTTTTAAATTTGCTTGCTTTTTTGTATCAACCGACTGTGCAGAAGTGATTTCCCTCGAGAATCAATAAAGTTTTCCAAAGTCATTTTCGCTAAATTAAAAGAAAACTTTATTTTCTCCTCGCAGCCTCCCCCGTAGTGACGTTAGCAGCACTACTGTACGAAGCACATCTGAGAGCAAACAACATGCCGCTCTCAATATGACTGAAGCATCACACCAATAACTTCTATTAATAAAGGTGTTGATTGGAAAAAGTCATAATTTTAGACATTTGTTTTCCCCCTTTTGGGCAAAACGCTGTCAGTGAATTGGAAAAGAACACGTGGCAATACAACTGTTCAAGTGTATTTATCAGAGAATGGAGTTGGAAAGGTAATGAGCGAGGGAGACAGGACGACAATTAGCCCAAGGTAATGATTCTGATTAACTGAGAAGATGAGGGGGCGAGGAAGAGCGCCAAAACATTCAGCGGACTGAAATTAAGGCCAAACTATGAGAGCAATAATAATAGTAGTGATAATAATAGTTGAATAGCTTTTTGACACGGACGAAAATGTAAAAATGTCAAGAGCCTAAACGTTCTTAGGTTTCACTTACTATCTTAAAAAGGCGACATTTTGGAGCTATTCAAAAGACTTTGTTCTGAATTTTTAATTGCTACGGCAACTGGGCTAATTTTTTCATCGCTCCGAAATAGAAAATAATTAAACTACGGTATAACTATAGCTAAAATCAACCTTTTTTTTTTTAAACATTTGAAGTAGTAGCACTTTTTTATCTGTTAATCTCTGTCACATTATGTTATTATTTTGTGCTGTAATAACTTTTTTGACACAGACAAAAATGTAAAAATGTCAAGAGTCTAAAAACATTCTTAGGTTTCATTTACGATCTTAAAAGGCGATATTTTGGAGCCATTCAAAAGACTTTGTTCTGAATTTTTAATTGCTATGAAAACTGTAGTTATTTTCTGTTTCGGAGTGATGAAAAAATTGCAAACTACTGTATGACTATAGATAAAATCAACCTTTTTTTTTTACATATTTGAAGTAACAGCACTTTTTTTTCTGTTAATCTGACTTTCCAGCTGATTCCCCAGTGGAATACCGGCTGGAGCGTCCCACTGGCTTGAAAGTCCCAGCTTGAATGTCCCATTCTCTCAGCAGGAACGTCCCCCTCCTCCCTCCGAGCGCTTCCTTCTCTTGAGCAGCACACGGGTAACTCGCCGGTAACGCACTGTGAGCATTCTATATCCCGAAGTGGCAAACATTTTTACAGTATGTAATAGGTATGTAACAATAACTAAAATATCGTGATATCATACTGTCAAAAGTCTCACAATAATATCGTTGGCTGTCACAATATATTGAATCACAAGTTCCTTTGTTTAAATGCATGGTTTTACAACAACAGCTTATAAACATCGAGGACTACATATCCAATGATTCATTTCGGTGCAAACAACATGAAGAAATATGTTTTTTACTTGAATTCTTGGGATTATGATGGAAATAATTCACATGAAAATCTTGTCATGGTATTTAAAAGCAAAAAAGTGTCCCATCTACAATTATATCAGCCTCTTCAAAATATCGCAGTAAATATCGTACCGTGAGATGCATATCGTGATAATATCGTACCGAGAGATTTAGATATCGTTACATCCCTAGTCTGTAATATCAATATAATCCTCATTTGCTCGCAGAAGTTTATTATGAAATTGTATTTGGTCAGTCCATATGAAATCAGTCGCCCTCCCCTATGAGCCGTCTCAGATTTGGCTGAAAAAATGTCTAAAAATTTCCAAAATTATCAAATGAAAGAATCTAAAATTTTAGCTCAATCTCTTCAGTCGTTCCAGAGTTATAACTCGTTGAAATTATGGCCCATTGAAATTTTTGGGGCCATGCCCACTTTTTCAGAAGCCTTTAATTCATGAGCATTTTTGAGAGACCGTAACTTCTCTATAGAGCTAGGAAGCTGAAAATGTGTATTATTGTAAATTTTGGGTTATAAATTCTAAATCTGTTGTCAAATATTGGGTATCTTTATTGAGGGGGCGCTCAAATTTGGTTGCCGCTCAATTTTCTCAAAAGATCTATTTACTCCAAGCAGATATTTACAAACTAACTGTTGAACTTGAATATTTGAGAGAATGACCATTTCTGACCATTTCAATCTCACACTATTCAGAGCTTTCATGTGGATACTGTGGAGTCCCAAATATGGTCACAGATCAAATTTGACCTTTCTGGCCGCTTCTTTGGACCGTCTTTGGCACATTCTGATTAGTTTAAAGTAATACAAAAATCTACTGTTAACTTCCTTCATTTCAAACGGATTTTTTGAAAATGAGCTCTCACGGGTCATTTTTGGTGGAGCTTAGGTACTTTTCCACCTGCTAGCAAGGTTCAATTACATTTAATAACCTTAAAAACTAATTGCTTGTTATAAGGTATTATGTCATGCAACAGGGGAATAAGAGCAGGGGGCTTATCCTTCCCAAATCAGAATACGTGCTTATGCTCAACATGGACAAATGTGTTGAGAAATACTGTAATTTACATGTGTATAAAATGAATTGTTTTAAATTTATATGTATATAGATTATAGGGGTGTGCAAAAATATCGTAATATCGATATACTGAATCATTTAATGTGATGATACAGTATCGATATCGTGGGCTACTGTATCGATATATCACCAAGAGTATTTTTAGGTGTGTTTTACTAACTTATTTTGTTACAGCTACAGATTTGTTGCTTGTGGAGTGAAAGGAAGCTCATTTATGCAACACATTTGACATTTTTACTGTTTTGATGAGTAAAACGTTTGTGTTTCATATGAACTTTGCACAAGAAGTGGTTTAACAACGACTTATAGTGTCACAGACATGATTTAGCCTTTATTTTTTATTGAACCGTATCAAATCGATTTGAAATATATCATATCGAATCAAAAGTGCACTGTATCGAGATATGTATCGTATCATGGCCTGTGTATCGAGGTATGTATCATATCGGCAACTTCTTAATGATACCCAGCCCTAATAGATTAACTTAGTTTCATAAAAGGTACAATTCAGAGGGACTTTCCAGCTGATTTCCTCTCTGTCACATTATGTTTTTGTCATTTTGTCCTGCAATATCCGAGATCATAATAGGACGTTTTAGGGCTGCACGTAAATGGCAATAAAACCGAAATCTCAATTTGAGTTTTTTAAGCAATTATCAAATCACAAAAGCTGCAATTATTAGATGATTTAATGTCCTCTGCATAGAACATAATATAATCAGTCTGTAGACCAGTTTAGTCCTCTACAAACATCTTGTATTCATTGAGTAGTTCATGTTTCAGTCTTATTTCAAACGTTAATGGTCCTGGAGATGTTTATATGCATTATGAAATCTGCTTTTCAAACACATAACGCAAATCTAATCACAACACTTGTCAGAAAAATTGCAATTAGATTTTCTGGCGCAGTCCTGAGTAATTATTCCATTTATTACGCGGCCCTAATAGACTTGTGTACGAAGAGTCCGAAGGCGTTCCCACCTCTCTGACGTTGGGCAGCTCCAGGATGTCAGAGAAGACGTAGAGTCCGGGCGTCTCGAGCAGAGAGCTGACGGCCTGAGCCAGAGCCGAGCCGGACAGAGACAAGAGCTGATCCACCTCCATCTGAAACACCGACAGGGAAAGAGAACGAGAAAGAGAAAGAGAGAGACAGGGTTAGTTAGTTAGTATGAGGTAAGGCGGTGTAATTAATCACATTTTAATCAAGAGCCAGTTTCCGTCTTCTTCTCAGGCGATTCTCTATCCTCCATCTATCACACTTGTCTTCTTCTCGTATGTTTCCTGTTCTCTTCTGACCCTTTCTTCTATGTCACCTCTCTTCCTCTTTCCCTCCATCCATCACCGCCATCTACTCACTTGACTTGTCTTTTTTCTGTTCCTTATCATTACCTTGAGATTTGTGTTGTGCAGTGTTTGCAATTAGTTTGTTTTATTTTACCGTTATTTATTATTATTAGGGGTCTGACGATACAATACATATACCGTATTTTCCGGGCTATTAGACGCGCCCCGCAATCCAGAGCGCCCTATACACGGATCCACTCAGGTGTCCCAGTACGACTTCAGTAAACTACAAAGCCGCACCACCCGCAGCGCACGAAAAAGCACGCGGAGCAGACAGCGACCGCGCAGCGAAAAACACCCGCAGCCACACTCATCACTCCACGCCGACAAGGAACGGAACGAAAGAACGAACCAAAAAAGCGAGTCCAATGTGCCACTTCTAGACACAACTGAACAACTGAGTCACTGCGAACACGCCGACAATCCGTTGGTCCCAGACAGCACCCTCCCTACACGCCACAACTGAACAAAGCCCAGAGTCACCGTGAACGCCACAAACAAAGTCCCACTGACCCATCCAACTGTTGTGTTTCATTTAAAGTCCAGTGCGGTTTATTTGTGAAAAAAGTTTGAAAATAGACCATTTAATGACAGTGCGCCTTATAAACCAGAGCGCCCAATAGCCCGGAAAATACGGTAATTTGCATGTCACGATTCGATATATCAGTATATATCCCAATACTGAAACATATGATGATATATTGCGATTTATCAATAATTACTTCTATTAATACAGTCAACTGCACCTTCACAAGAACACACTTATATGAAATATAATTTATAAAAATGTTTAAATCATTCATCATTATCAAATATTTAAAAAAATCGATTCGGATGCATTTTGAATCGATTCGAGAACTGTGCAATGAAGTATCGAGATATTTCACTGAATCGATTTTTTTTTTACACCCCTAATTATTATTAGTTTATTTTTTTACATTTTGTGTGTGTGTGTGTTCATTGCACTGAAAAACAGGCAACGTTACTGTGAGTGGTATTGCGTCTCCACAAACCTGATTCGGTCTATCTATCTGCATGGAGAACGTTCTTGCTTTTTTTATGCAATTGTGCAGGTGACACCTTAAATATTGATGATTTTGCCGATTTAACAAATAAACAAAACAAAAAACTGCATAACACAATAAAGTACAATAGAAAAACTAAAACAGTGAGGGCTCAAAAGGCAAAAAACTCAAAAAGCAAAGACTCACACAACTGTAGACGAACTCAAACTACACTGAACCTTTCCTGAATCTCCACCGCTCCACATCGTCTGTCAGCTCCGGGTTTTGACAGACAGGTCAAGACAAGACAGACAAGTCAGTCCTCCGTCAGTAAAAGCAGGTGGATTGGAGCAGAGTTTAGATTGCGGAGGAAGATGTGTGTCCGTTTTCTGTGTTGTGTGTTCAATTGGCTTTGATAAAAAGTCTGTCTTGCTTATGTTTGGGGAAAATAACATTGGAAGGTACTGTATTTTTACTTTTGTTTTCAATAAGACAAAATAAAACAGAATCAAAACTGTGACAAAAAAATGTGTGCGTTTACTATTATTTTTTATCATATTGCACAGCCTTAGTAGAAGGTTTAAGGAGTAAACTTCAAATACTTTTCAAGCACCGGTGTGAGACAGTATTTTGAGCCCCATAGTATATAGTAAAAGTGAGCCCCCTTATAGGATTTTGACTTTAGTAGTTACTTATCTGATCATTATTTCTCATGTAATTTACTTTTATTTATATATTGCTACATATTTACTTTCTTTTAAGGTAGTTTAAGGAATGTTTTGTTGAATAATGACTTGGTGTTTTGTGTAAATGTAACGTATTGTTAAAATTGCATATACATATAGCAATCTTGTCACTTTGTATTTTACATTGTTACGGTTTTTAGTTTGCTATGTTCAAATAATCCACATAATTTTAAATTAAGTTATTGATTACAGAAACCATTTAACAAATCTTCTCCTATCATCTATTTAACTACTCAATTGATCAGCCCTGTCTATTTTAACAAGATTCCAAATCATTACACATCACTTTGATTACCTCACTAATTAATAACTACTTATCTCATTTTCAGTAAAATATGTGTCTAAAACAACTAAGTCATTTTTAACATTCAGAAGTTATAAATTGACATAAAAATTGCATCTGACTTCTTAAAAAAAAAAAACACTTTTAAATATGTCAGTATGTTTTATAGTATGCCCAGGTCTGACTACCTCAAATTTAAGACTTTTTAAAGACCTTTTTAAGACCATTTAAATGAAAATTAAGATCAACATCACACCCATTATGCAGGCGAAAAACACCAAATCTAATTCAAATAATGACCAATCGACTACTGCATCTAGAATCTAAGGTTACGTTCAGACTGCAGGGCTTAATGCTCAATTCAGATTTTTTTTTGTGAAATCCGATGTTTTTGCGAGGTCGTTCACATTTCCAGTTAAAAGCGACTTGTATGTGATCTCCAGTGTGAACATTAAACGGCCCAAAAGTGTCCCACATGCGCACTGGAGACACGACGACGTCAACCGCAGCGAGCGTCTCTGTGTTTACGGACGTTGTCCAAACATGGACGCGAGCATTGAGCACCTGGAGATTTTAAAGTTCCTCTCGTAACGGAGCCAGAAAATGAACAACTTACTTGTTTTAAGGAGGAGATTGAGAAGGAGAAGGACGAGGTTTTGTGGGACAGCGGCAGCGACGTCCGTTGAAAGGAACATGTGGATGTGCAGATGTAGCCAAGAGTGGTGAGTGGTGATGTGCTTCACTTCAGTGACACGGAGTTCATTAACAATTTTCGCCTACTTCAGCGCAGAATAGTGACATTTGTGGCTTGTTGATAACGTGTAGGTGGATGAATGCACCTTGGCCGTTCAGACTGAAGTCGCATTTCAAAAGATCAGATATGTATCGGTTTCCAGACCACATACCCAAGTGGCCTGGGTCGCATTTGAAAAAATCAGATCTGTGTCATTCAGACTGTCATTAAAAGATCAGATACAGGTCACATAGGGGCCAAAAAATTGGATTTGGGTCACTTCAGGCTGCAGTCTGAACATAGCCTTAGAGCCTCTGTGGATTAAACCTACACTTCCCCATGATCCATCCAGCGTCTTCCTCCGCTCTACTGATTGTTTACTCATTGCTGTCGGCGGCAGAAACCAAAGTATTGTTTGCACATACTCCAAATTAGACGTTCATTCACGTTACATGATTTCACGTTGTTGTTGTTTTTTTTCCCTCCGTTTAACACTGCACTACAGCCTGGTCGAGTGTACCAAAAAAAATAAAAAATAGGCTAATGAAATTTAAGACCTTTGTGAAAAAAATAAGACTTGGACAACAAAATTTAAGACTTTTTAAGACCTTGATTTAGGATTTTTAAGACCCCGTTTATTAATAAAATATAGGTTTTCATAGGGGGGTCAATATTCTATAAGGGGGTCAACATAACCATAATAGGATTCTGACCCCGGGGTCAAAATACTATATGGTAAATTGCCCCCGGGGTCACCTCACCGCGGGGTCAAAATCCTATATCACTCCGGACAGATCTAAAAAAACAAAAAAACAAAAAACAAAACATACATAAATAGTGTATTGATTGCGATTGCCCTTAGATACGCCGTTTATGTTTTAATAATAGGATTCTGTTCAAAGTTCTGTTCAGATGAATTGACAAAAAGACTGCAATATGAACTGACAAACGAAAACAAGAATCACATTTCAGAAGATGATTGTGCAGATCTAAACCACAGGGTAAGCAGTTTTTATGCTTGTCGCCGAGCTAAACAACTGCGATGAGAGCTTATTGGACTGTTGAAACTCCGAGCGGTTACGAACATTTTCAATTTATTCAACTCGACCTATAACGTTTAAGCGCCGAGCTACCCCCGCGGAAGTAACACACACGTATGTTTTTTCGTGATAAAAACACAATCATTACAATTTCCTGTGGCATTAAATGTGACTCTCCGGTAATTCTGAAAAGCCTCGTGCAGGTTTTCAAACTGTTATAATACTAATATTTATTGACTTTGACCCAAACCCGCGTGCGACTTGTGGAGTTCGCCCGAGTTGAGAGACACCGAGGGAGTATTGATGTATGTAACAGGTCTAATGAATTGGAATTGGGGCATGTATATTCATAACAGCTCATTACCAGCGGAGGGAAACTGTTGCTCAGGGCAACACTGGAATAATTACAAACGTAGTGACACGGATCTGTCTGAACGCGCCCGAACCAGAGCATGGGACACACGACGACGCACAGCTTCACAAATACTTTACTTTACTATGTCGGCTACTTGACCCTGTTAAAGTTATGTACTGATGTATTTTATTGTATTAAAGTACCCATGTAAGTCAATAAATTATTAATATTCAAATGAAGGACCGGAGATATTTTTGGGATTAGCAATTACCATTCATTTTTTACAATCCATCAAATATAGAGAAATCTATCTTCTCTCTCTTCTCTCATTTAATGTCTTTTTTGAATTAATTCTTTTAAATTTAGTTTTTATTGTGATTTTAATGTATTTCTTATTCTGTCAAACACTTTGAATTACTCTGTGTACAAATTGTGCTATACAAATAAACTTGCCTCGTCTTGCCTTATAGAAAACTGAATGGACTTGAATGGACTATGAACAACTTAACGGATTCATTGCAATTAATCAACAATAGGCTCTATGCACACTTACATCACAAACTAGAAAGACGTTTGAAAACATCCGATGACAACTTCCG